ACACTCATGAATGAGAAAGCAAAACTGAATATATGAAAACAATCAGGGAAAATTTCACAACAGAGGGCTACACCAGATCTCCGGAGAGCAAAAATCTGTGGCTTTACAAATGCTGATTTGGTTTAAAAAAATAGAGCGCAAAGTTTAGCAAACTGAAATTTATATTTTCTTAGCCTTTGACTTAGCTTTGGTATTTTGCCTTTGCACATATATGTGTGTGTTGCTGCTGCTCAACATCCCATGTTAAAGGATACACAACTCAGCCACTGGTTAGCAGCTCAGTGAAGCCAACCTGAGCTGCTGGGCTGGAATTACCCACTCAGGTATGTCCTGGCTGCCGTACTGCTGGTAACAAATGAAAGCTCACCTTCATTCCAAGTATTTTTAGTCGTCTGCTACAATAAAATCTTGCATGGTTGATCTGTGCAGCTTAAGGATAGCCGTGAAGGTCTTGGCTTGTAAGGACAGTCGGGTGGCTCCTTTGAACTCCAGACAAGTTTTCCATCATGGTCTGATCAGGGGAGCTTGTGGTGTGTGCATGCATATGGATGCACACCATGTACGTGTTAGTGCCATCTGCCAGGAAGGCAGCAGCCACCTCTTCCCTGCGCTGAGCTGCTCATCCCAGCTTTGCTCTTCAGCTGCGATACGGAGGGTGAAGAGAGAGACCGGGTACTGCAGGAGAAGGACAGCCTGAATTTGGGGCTTTTGGCCACAGAAACAGTCATTATGGTGTGAAGTCAATATGACTGAAAAGTCCTGAGTGGCCACAGATTTGTTCATGCAGTGTATTTCATCAGGATTCAACAAACAGTCAGAGCCCCAAATATGAGTTGGCTTGAGTAGAGCTTTTAATGCATTTAAGCAACAAATCACTCCCGGTGTATGATGACTGTTTTTTGAGAGAAAGTAGGCAAAGGTCTCTGTGCAAACACTTTGTCATTTAGCTACAAACCACTTGATTGTGATTAGCAGACTTGGAAAAGGAAAGCGTCTGTGCAATTAAATTTTTGGTAATAAATTAATATGCACGATAAAAGATTCTGTAAAACCAAAACAATGTGCTTATTTCTGGCTAAGCTGAAGACTGCATCTCTACCCATTAATTTCTCTATTTACCTGCAGTTATGGTATATTATTTTAAGCAGCTGACTGCTCAGCTTCTGTTCCGATACAACAGCTTTTGTCAAGCTGCTCTGCAAAGGTGCCACTTAAAAAGTAGTCAGAATGTTTTTCAAAAAAACCTTGGTATTTGAACACAAAATATCAGCACTTTCAGTTGCAAGTAGTTATATTTACGTAAGTTCTTCTTGCATTTCAACTGAGCTGTAGTTATCATTTACGATTTGCTATTTGGAATTCAAAATGTGTCTGTAAATGCAAAAAAGTCCCCAAACCACAGGAAATGGTGGGAAAAAATAGAAGAGAAAAAAGAAATAATTCTAATAAACTCTTCCAGGATGACTTTCCTCTGTTTTGTAAATCTGGTACTTTGAAAGCATGCTGCATCTGTTTTACTGGCCAGAGTAGTTCTCTTTTGCCTTCCCTTGTGCAAAGTGTGATTCAAATCCTATTGATTTGACATGACGTGATACCTTATAAATATGCCCAGGGTGTGAAGGTCTGTGGTGAGCATCAGCATAATGTTGATTTACATTCATTTGTACGAGCTAGAGTTTCCAGCTTTACCTGCAGTCACTGTAAAAAATAGCAGGAATAGCTGCAGTAGGAGAACAACAATGTGAGACAAACCTGAAATCAATCTTTTGTTGATTTGGAGAAAAGCTTTATTTCTTCTCTCTCTCATAAGAATTCTTGCTGGGAAGGGAAAGCTGTCATGAAAGGACACAGAGATCAGCTTTGCAGCCTGCCTTGTACAGCTTTCGCTAGCATGAAGGGAGGATTTAGGATCTGCATTTTCCAGGTGCTCCGTGACAAAGCATGCCAGTCACGCTGAACAGTTTCCAATCTTCCCTGGGAGCCTTTCTGCTGACACACAGACTCAGCCAGGAGCCCTAATGTTCTCAGCTGCTCCATCTAGAAACCTTCCAGAAGTGGACCTGACAGTTCAAATCTTACTTTCCCCTAGGATTCATTTCTGAAAGAATGCTTGTATATACTCAGGAGTTGCTGTTTGAAGTCCTAACTTTTGTTCTCTTGGGGAAGTAATTAGTGAGTAAAAAGCAGATGTGAAATTTCTTCCTGCACAGAAAGGTTATATATACTGAAAACATGCTCATCACTAACCGAAGAATAACTTTTGATACATATGTATTTAGCGTTGTTCAAAAGATGCAGTTGGTGTCAACCTATTCAGTGGCTTTCAATCGCAAAGGTCAGAAGTCGTTCAGAGCAAACTCCAGCTCAGTGCAGGGCTGACCTATATCTGGTTGCTCAGGGACAGATCCAAGGATGGAGTTTCCACAACCTCTCTGGTTGCTTCAGTATTTGGTCACCCTCAGGTTTGAGAAATCAGTTTCTGCTGTTCCAACTTGTGTCCATTGCCTCTTGACCTTCCACTATGTGCCACTGAGCCTGGCTCTGCTTTCTCTGCACCCTTCCATTAGGTAGTTGTTGACAAGATCTCCTCCGAGTGTTTCTTTTTCCAGGATGAAGAAACCCCACTCTCTCAGCCTCATCTAGTACCTCACGTACTCCAGCCCATGAACGCTCAAAAAAATCACAGAATAGAAACATTTCAATGAAGAGCAAAGCACTTAATACCCTAAGTTTGGAATAGCAATGTGCAAGATTCCTTTTGCACTAGAAAACTGTAACAGTCTGAAAGACAGAAGGAAAAGTGGATGGCTACTTCTTTTTGCTTTCATGTGGATGTTTTCATACGCCACTCACTATGAGAAGAGGAAAGCAAAAACAGTGCAGACTGTACACTGTAACACAAGCGACAGGAAAAGATAGCTAACCGCAGCAGGAGGGAATCTCCCAGAAATATAAAAACTGGAGAAAGTAGAACAGAGGACAAAACAGTTCAGAAACATGAAGACAAAGAATATCCACCACTTGCTAGTTTGAGAGTTTGTAAGTAATGGGGTAGTAGTTAAGTATGTGGTCAATGAGCAGATGAGAAATTGCCTATTGAATTGCTTCACAGAAGTCTGGAAGAAATACAAACAGTCCTTAAAACTCATAGTATGAGAGGAGTTAAACATAGATTCAAGCATTAACTTGAGGAGTTAAATATATCATGAGATAGTCTATCAAGTACTGAGGTTAATTATGCAATTGTTCTGACCCACCAAGTGTTTTAAGCATCACTTTACAAGAAGTGAGTCGTCTCCTAGAGAAGGCTGCTTTAAAACATCAAAAAACCCTGAAGAGCCACATCTTCCAGATATTTTTTTTTTTAAAGCTTCTTCCCTACATTGTGATGTTTCTTCAGGTATGGCACAAAACACGCTGCACACCAGTAGGATTTATCACCTCTTATTTTTGGTTTTAAGGCACAGATGCGTACCTTTCCTTTACTTTGCCTGTAGCCTTTTTAAACTGAGTAACTGTGCACTATGGCTATGTCCTGTAACATTCACTGTAAAACACATTTGTTTTAAAAAAAGCTGTAGCATGGTAATTATTGGAATGAATTCCTTTGGTCCCCAGGTTCATGCTGAAATGAGATTTTACTGACTTTGTATGGAACACTAGAAGGCAGTCATCACGTTGACAGCTTCCCTTACCTCCCTAAATTCTGCAGAAGTTCCTAGACTGTTGTGAAAAGACAGATGTATGAAATTTTCTTATAATTTTTCCAAGGCTAAACTCCAAGGGGTTTAGAAGAAAGAGAAAAACAGCAAAAATACCATGTATATACTTCTCATCTATTTCTAAGACTGCAAAAGTGCTTAAGTTCTTACAACAGCTGCTTCATAACATTCAAGGCATTCACTTACTGTGCCCTCTCTGCAGCTGGCCTGTACTGCAGCAGACATTCCCATTTTCCAGAATGCTTGTTTTCCCTTTCAACTATTTATGTATAGTAAGTCTTTGCTGCGTTACTGTCACTGTACTTAGTAGCTACAGTAATGTTCAGAGAGCAGACTTATTTTTAAGGATAAGCTTACTGATGTTTGCTGATTTATTTTATATTCTAGTTGATAAATGCTCAAAGAAACCTTTCAATTTCCTTAGAATTCAGTTTGAGCGTTTTGGTTTTTTTTGTCAAAACAGTTCTACTTCTTGAATCCTCATTTAAGGACAACCAACCAAAAAAGGGAAATGAGATGACTCCAGATATGACAGACCCAAGATTTACTTTAGTACAAGGCAGAAACACTTACATTGGAACAGGACAGACAACAACTTAGCACTGACATTGTATACAAGAAAAATCCCATTATTGTGAGAATTTGCACTCTGCGAACAGGGCAGGAAGTATTTAAGGTGCTTAGAAAACAAACAGAACAGGTAGTAGTACATCTAAGAAATTCCCAGAACAACAAACCTGGTCTAAATCCCCTAAGTCTACATAAGGTGGGTTACTACAGTAGGAACACACAAAGCAGGAGTCTAGGAGAAGAGTTACAGCAACTTTCACCTGTGCATTTACAAAGGAATAATTACAGTACAATATATTTGAAATAGCTTCCTGATGTTAAAATGTTTGTAAGGCTGCACTAGGAAAATTCTCAAGCAAGTATATTAACCTCACTTGGTCTTAACCAAGTGAGTCCTTGTCTCCTGGGACAAAAAGCTTTGAAGCTACAATCAAATTAATACTGAGCTACAGTACCAACACTGCTTTTCAACAGCAGTGCTGGAATACAAATCTGCCTTGAGGCTTTTGTGTCTGATGTTGACATAAAGCAATTTTGCCTGGGAAAGACAAATGAAGTGCTAGTCATCAATAAAGCTCCTTAAAACCAGTTTCCCTGTTTCTTAAAATAGGCCTCCAGTGGTTTTTTTATGTTGTACTATCAAATTCTGCTAGTTACATAACTAAAACGTGCAAATAAAGCGCAACAGACTACTCTTTAGCCATTATGTGATTAAGCATCTTTTAATATTTCTGTTTATGCTTACAATGTTTGTCAACAGAGTGAACAGTATATACTTGGAGTCTGTCCAGTGATAGACTTGAGTCACTGAACTACTGGTTCGAGGAGAACTACTGGCATTCTAATTTTATTTTCAGTTGAGCCATAGGATGCTGAAGTGATCACGGACTAGCACATGTTCCAATAGTGCCAAATTCTAACCAAAACTCAGATTGTGCGTTAGTAGCCAAGGCAAACAATTATTCTGTATCATACACAGAAAGCAACTAGTATTGAACAGACAAAAAGTTTGGTCAACAAACTAGTTTTACTTCTTTAATAATCTTTTTGCTAATAACTCAATAGGCACAACAGTACCAGTAAGCATATGAACTTTAAAATGCACAATTGTCACAGACAGTTGACTTGAATACAGGAATAGTGTTTGGTAGACTTAGAGACGACTTTTAGATTCTTCCACTCTTAAATGATTTTGTATTTCCTCATCACCTAGTCATGCACTGGAGAGGAATTCCACAGCAGTCTCCTTTTCTTCAGTTAACTCCTTAGCAGTCAGATCCATCTTCTCACGAGAAAAATCATTAATAGGAAGTCCCTCAACAAACTTCCAAGTCTTGTCCTGTTTTAAAACAAACAAAAAAACCACCTCCATGTTAGAACAAGCTTCATTCAGTCTTCATGAAGGAAACTTTGCAGCATAAGACACAAAGTTTATGGCCTTAAAAAACACTTCAGGCAGTAGTTAACTTTGTTTTCAGATAAAGAATGCAACCAGCACCAGCTAGTCATAATCAGATTCTACTTGTCTCTCAGTACTTATTTGATAACTACTACAAAATGGTTAACAATGGTCCACTCTGTGAGAGACTGCTAAAACCCCTACATCCCAGCAACTGCAGTCCCATACTAAAAGCACTGCTGTTAAGCTCATATGACAGTTTAGCTAGGTCTTGCAGAAGATTTGTGGATTTAAATACAGTCTAGCTACCTTGATCACAACAGGGAATGAATACAGCAGGTCTTCAGGAACACCGTAAGAATTGCCATCAGAAATTACTCCCATGGAAACAAATTCACCCTGAAACCAGAAAATTAAGAGAGAAATACATTTCTCACTGCTGGAAGCAATTAAAATTTTAATTTCCAATATACTGCATCTCCTGTGACACACTTTATTCCAGAAAAAGACAGATTCTTCCCCCTCTGAACACACATACTTGAGGTCAAAGACACTGGCATGTAATCAAAGCCATCAGGCAAACAAGCACTTACTCAAGAGCAACATCTTACCGCTGGAGTGCCAAACCAGATGTCCCTCACATGATCGCAGATAGCTTTGGCAGCTGACATTGCACTGGACAGCTTCCTAGCCTTAATAACAGCTGCTCCACGTTGCTGAACGGTCTGCAATTCAGGAAAAAAACCCACAAACCTAAATTGCAAAGCAGCAAAATCATGACTTGGTCTGAAAGCTGTTAGTAAACGCCATGAGGAAAGACCACCTTACATCACTACTTAATTTCATCAGTCAAGACATAGCTCTATCACTAAATGAACATGGCATACAATCCAGAAATACAGTCTAGAAGAGTTTTGCCAAGACAAGAACATAATGGAGTATTTCAGAGGCTGGCTCATTTCTCAGTACCTGTGTTATAGCTAGCACCCCACTGACTTCTCTCATACCAGCCAGGTATTTCAAGCTTTTACCACCAAGAGACTTCATGTCTGTCAATAGTAACAGATGCCTTAGAGCAACACTGGCAGTTAAGGTTTTTTGCTGAATACCAAGGTGAACTACTTGCTGGTCTCGATCCTACAATACTTAATGCATAAAATTAATTTAATTCCTGAAAATAGTTGAACCTACCTCCCTATACTCAAATTTAGATTAAGAAATTTTTTACTTAAGAATTGTACTTCTTAGAATTAGCATAGCTTCTTAAACCTCACATATTTTTTTCTTAGTAAGTTTTGGTAAGGCTCTATGCCAACCAGACCCCAGTCTAGAAAGCAAGAATCATGAAATCTCCTTATCTTAGGCAAAGCATTCTAGCACAGACCAGCATTACAATGCACCTAGAAGGCCAAACCAGTATCCTGCCTTGGCCACATGAGATACAGCAGGATCAAGGACAAGGACAGGTTTCTGCTTACCCTTTGGCTCATGAACTTTGTATGCCAGCATACAATCATTTATTCTGTAGCAACAAGCGTGAACTGAAATAAGCTATATCCAAAAACAAGACAGGACAGAGCACAGTCATATGACAAAACACATCCTCAGGCCCAAACTAAAGGTGCTTTGGCCAAGATACAGTACCTGGCTGTCAGCATGTCAGTAACACTGCAATACCAAGCAAAGTACACCTACTTGGAGTCACATTCATCAAGGGCTTTAGTAATCCTTGTTTCACTTGATATTGCATTTAGGCAGCCTGTGCTTTTAATCAGTTAGTACCATTATTTTGTTTTACCAGCTTATATCATTATTTATTGCTACCCTACATTAAGACATTTGCAGGTGTTTTCTAGATTTTTCAGATTACTTTTTAGAAATGCTGCTGACGAGGCCACAGATTTAGATTTGGAAAGTGTGTGCACAAACACATGCACGTGCAGGGGGAGGGCTGCTGGGCTTTTTTGGTAGCTGGGGAGCAGCAAATGGAAGATCATCCTACTTGTCATCTACAAAGCTGCCCAAAAAAGTCACCATAGTGAAATGTCAATGGTGTTTGTGTGTCAGATGAGTTGCACCTGAGCTATGATCAAAATTCTTTTTGTTGAATCATTTTAGCACTCCAAATGGATTTTTCTAGTAGTATTTACATTGGTTTTCATAATGCCTTAGATTTTTCAAAAGCAAGTAACTGATAAGAGAGAAGCTATCTAAAGTGACTTATTCTAGTGAGATAGGAAGAACTGCTTCACCCAGTCAGTCAGTTACATAGTTCATAATTTCACATGAGGTTAGAACAAAGCAGAAGCACAGAATAACCATTTAAAAAAACAATCAAAAACCCCAAGATCTTACCAGGATAAAGTCTCCCTTCAGCCAGCTGTCATCTTTTATAGCTTCATAAACTCCAACTTCCTTTCCTTTCACATTTACCTTTGCATGATTAACATCTGGATATTGAGTGGAGGAATGGTTGCCCCAGATGATGACATTCTTCACATCATTAGCAGTCACACCAAGTTTCAGAGCAATCTAATTGGAAATTAAAGATGTCCAACGTATTAACTTCAGCTTCTCAATTCACAGGCTTCTTTGAGAGCATTGCTTTGTTTGTATTTAGCAGAGACAACAGAAAGCATTCTACTTTGAATAGGCCCTTTTTACCTGAGATTTAGCTCTGTTGTGATCCAAACGAGTTAAGCAGCTGAAGTTTTCCTTTGGTATTGATGGGGCTGACTTTGATGCAATCAGGCAGTTAGTATTTGCTGGATTCCCAACTACCACAACCTAAAAACAAAAAAGGGGAAGGGGAACATGGGAAGATGAAGAAGCTATTTCTGCAAAACAACTCCCTCAAGTGAAATACATGGCTTCGCCTTCAAAGAAGCTATCAAAAAGTTAAGTTTTCTAAATCTCTGGGTTGTCTTCAACATGGTTGTTTTATATGTGCATTGTTCACAGTCACCGAGTCTTCTATAACTGCACAGAAAAATATTTTCTAGCTAATTATAATTTGACATTCAAACATGAAAGAGAACAAGACTTCTAGGGAGATCTGCACACTGACCCACAGCCTGGCTTCAAACCTCATGCTACTAGATACAGAAAAAGCAAGATACATACACACTAGTCAGCCCACAGTGAATTCACCATCACCTTTCAAATGCTTTATATAATTGCTTTATAATTAAGAAAGCCAGAACAGTTACTTATCTCAATGTTCATAGGCAGCTAGAAGTAAAATATTGCCTGGATTTAGATCAATTTATTACTATGGAAAACTGATTTTTATTCATCCTTCATCTACTAATGTGCCTCAGATGATTAATGTCAAGCTCCATATACTCTCAATCACACAAGCTAATCTGCAAACCTCCCTTTGCATTTCCCCTTTTCAAAGTGAGTTCAGTAAATTTTCCATTACTCTGCAATAGTAACATTGATAGTTTTTATACCAATTGTATAAAGAAGCAAACAAGTCTTTAGAAGCAGTAGGAAGTTCATCAGCAGAGGAAGTAGACATTAAAAAGTCAGTTACAAAGCACAGTTAGAATCTGGGTCTGAGATTAAGAGCAGTAGGAGAGCAGCCACATGATCCCATTAACTGTGCTGAAGGAATCTGAGAGAGAACAATTAAAAGCTTCCAATGCTCCAAAGACCAAGACGCAAACAACCTAAATAAAGCTGATTTTTTGTGCAACTGTAATTCCATATTGATACTGAAGTTAAGGGTCATTATGTTAAAGCCACAGATGGATATGAAGTAGGCAGCTGCATGTAGATAATTTAGTTCTCCCAGAGAAGAAAGATAACGAGCAGAAGACTGCTTTTTATTTTTTTAATATAGTTTTTTTTTAAGAATTGCTGGTAACTAGTTCAGAATATGTGTGGACTACAGCAATACAATATAAGACTTATCTTTTTCACCAAACGAATTAAGGACTAAATCATCTGTGTATTTAACATACTATCTCTCATCTAACCTTGACTGTGGTCTATTTTCCAGGGCTTAAGGAAAGGAATGCCTGCACTAAATAGGCTCCTGCTTGCACAATATCATTCTACAATGTATTTAGATCTCTACAAAACTCAGAGAGTTAACTTTTAAAATTCAGTTTCTATATTCACCTTGACAGTCTTTTTGGCATACTTGTCCAAGGCTGCACCCTGAGACTTGAAAATTTTCACATTTGCTTTGAGTAAATCCTTCCTCTCCATGCCCTCTCTCCTTGGCATGGAGCCAACCAGAATTGCTATGTCAAGGTCTTTGAATGCAACTTCCTCCTTGTCTGTTGGAATGACCTCTAAAAAAAGGAAAGGGGGGGAAAAATAATCTAAGTAAGATAAATAGTCATGGCAAAGTGTTAAAGGGAATATTCTTTGGTTCACAGATAGTATATAAACTGATCTGCCAACACCACCACCTTCCCCTTCCAAAAACGTTAAGTATAGTCATTTACCCCTAACTCCACAGATTAAATACTTGCCAGTGAACAGTTTATATATACAAATATTTATCTAAAGCTTTAGATATAAATTCTGAAAACACAGGAGAAATCTATGTAAAAAGATACCTTTCATGTCTGTCTATCTAAATATGTACACATATGTACATATGCTGTTCTTCACTTTTACAAAAAATTTTCAGTGGCAAGCACCAACACATATGAAGTTTTTCTCTCCCTTTAACACTTCAGACTGAAGAAGGTTTGATGTGTACAAGTACAAGAGCTGGCAGCTACATGCCTTTTTTTTTTTAAAGTACTATAATAATTACAGTAGCATCTACTTGCTCCTTTTCTTCTGCTTGTTTAAACTATCAAAACTTAACTTGTTTACACAACTTGATGAGCAATTTTTCAGTTTGTGTCTATGTAGAAGGTATTTCTAAAGACTAGATGTTTTAAATTTATTTTTTTTAATTACTTAGTAAAGGCATCTAGGTGTACCTAAAGATTCAATGCTATTTTACCACTAGGCCAGAATACAATGCATAAATGCACAAGTATCTGACAATTTGTTGTACATGCTGACAACCCAGGTTTAGATGACATAAACCAAAACCCAGGTATCTGCATAGTCAATTCTTTACACAAAACTCATTTGATTACATTCTTCTGAGCTTACATCCCAAGTTAAATTATCTTCCACAAAATGTAAAACCAAGAAAGGATCATCTAATATTTTCTTCTGCTCAACTTCCTGCCAGCTACAGGAACTCATAAATGCAACAGTTGTACTAGAACATCTTATAGGTATAAGAAAAATTTCTTTTGGCCACCTCTCAGCAGCGGTAGGGCACAGTCCTGCAGCTCCATCACTACACCTTCCAATACAGTCATCATGGGGGTGATATCCAGCAGCACAAGAATAAGAGGCTGTAAAGAAAGAAATGGTTTAGTGCAAGTCAGGCTTAACCTGTTTTGAAAATTAATTTGTCTTGTTATCTGCTAGAAAATGCTATCTTGTGCAAGACTTAAAATCCATTTGCAGAAAATTGAAAAACTTCAGCATGACCAACAACTGCATAACAGAACAGGACTCCATTTTCCCCACTTAAAGAATAAGTTATTTGCACATTGGTAACTTACCTGTTCTTTGCCGAAGACATCTCCCTTGGCAATGCTGTACAGCAGCGAGTAAGCAATCTGCCCAGCAGCTCCAGTCACCAGGACTCTGATAGGTTCACCCTTCAATAAAGTTAGAGAGACTTACACACAGCTACACGGTGCAAGCTCATACCATCCAAGAGCAGTAAAAATTAACAGTTACTACAGAAATAAGGTTATGATTATTTAACCTGGATGAAAGCATGTGCCTAAATGTGGATCAGGCCCAGATCCTGGGATCATCCTTCTGTTCTGCTAGAACCATAAGCAATTTCTCTACGTGCTTTTACAGAAACAGACCACTCTTGCAAAAATATCCTTAAGAATTGCTCCTGGAAAAGCTTCCAAAATGCCAGGAATAACAATCTATTTGAAAATCTTTGTATTCTTTTTAACACTGCCTTTTTAACATAAGGCATTACAACATGTACCCACTCATTAGATTACCCATTCATACTTCAAATTTACTACAGAAGTTTTACGAGCTGTGACACTTCACCAGTTTTCACATTCTTTCAATTTTGAGGGCTGTTACCATTAAGCATTTTGAATGCTTACTTGCAACCAAAGACTTATTGAATGCCAGAAACCAAGGAATCTAGTGGACTTAAAACTACTGCCTCACTGAACTGTTATGCGGCAGTTTAACAAATCCACAGACAAAAGCTACATTATAGACAAATACAGACACTAATATCCATAATACAACTGTTCATTGTCCAACTGACCCAAAACTCCAAAAGGCTGGGAGAAGACTGCCAACATGTTGCTATATTGCAAACAGGGGGAAAAAAATGGCCTACCCTATAGCAAAAGTCCATTTTGTTAATCAGAACCAGGACTTGGGGAGCTCCAGAGGTCATTTAATATTGAAAGGGGAAACATGCCAAAGGACATTCATAACCCAGTATTTTGTAAGCCTGTTTTTTATATCTCCCTTTTTGCCTAGAGGCAATAGGGCTTGGGCAGATTGTGCTAGGACAGGAAAAAGCAGACTCCGAGCAGCCAGTGGGAATCCCATGCCTACTTTTTCACATAATTAAAAGATGATCATTTGAATTATGGACAAAATGTCTTCCACATTCAATTATGTCTGAAGTGATTTAACTGCATACTGGGCTACATTATGAAAAGTGTAGCTTGCAGAGCAAAGGCAGGCATTTTGCTTAGGGCTGGTGGTTGCAACTGGAATACTAAGTCTGGTTTTGGGACTCTGAGTTTTAGAGGGATGTTGAAAAACTAAAGAGGGTCCAGGCAAGCATTATTCAGATGGTTGGGGCCCAGAGTTCATGTCCTATAAGATGAGGCTGAGGGAGCTGGGCATAGTCTGGAAAGGTAGAAGACAAGGGGTGATTTAACAGCAGCCTACTACTACTTACAGAAAGATTACAAAAATAACACTGCCAAACACCTTTCAGTAGTGGCAGATGGCAGAATGTGGGGCAACAGCTACAAATGAAGAGAAAAATTCTTGATTAGGGTGGTACTGTTGCACTGTAACAGGGTACCCAGAGAGTCTGTGCAACCTTCATCCTTGGTGGTTTTCAAGGCCCAGATGTAAAAACATGTATGACCTGATTTAGCAGTGGCAAACACCTTGCTATCAGGCTGGACTGGACAACCTCCAGACTCAGATCAAGGAAGAGGTCAGACTGGATGCCCTCTAGAGATCCTTTCCAACCAACATTCCTGTCATCGATATTTATAGGAAAACCATTTTGGGATTTGAGTGTATTCTCTCTGCAGAAGTGACCAGCCAAGCACAACTGCATCAAGCTAACATTAGATAACCATAAAAATGAGGCCACCTGCCCCATTTTACCAGGTACTAGATAAAATGAGAGCATAAGTGATGGAAATTAAACTACTGAACTCACAGATTTAGACCTCAACATGATTTTGCCTTCATTATGGGAATGATTCTTTAAATATTTGGTTAAATGGCTACCTGTTATGGTGCTGAACTGCATTATTTTCTTTTGAACGTGTCCTCCTGCAAGTGTCATCCTCAAACCTTGTCAAAACTCCATCACGAGGGGGAAGGAGAGCAGACAATCTATTATTGCCATTTTAAATCTCAAAACTAGTTTTGGTATACTATACTTGAGTAAGGAAGTTATGCCATCCAAATGTACCATAATGTCTGAATGATGATGGGCAGCACAGATTAAGGTGCATATCAGATTTTAAAGCCAACTTTTCAGCATGTTTTTAAGGAGAATCTACATTTTATTTACGTAAAGGGAACAATGAACACTCTTTCAAGGCAGCTAATCATATTAATTAGAAAAATAAGTACTGGAAAATTACTGTGCTGCAAAACCTTGGCCTGCCAAAAACCCGTATCAACAGCACATAGAAAGTGATCCTATGCTAAGCATGCTACTCCGGAACTCACACAGATAACAGCAAAACACATTTTCTTTGATTCACATGGTATCTGAAATCAATTGTGAATTGATTTCTGAATTTCCAGTGAACGGAACAAGGATTTTAAGAAGTTAAGCTCTTTCTCATTTGCAACCTGTGATCCAATCTAAAGTAGTGTTACAAAAGGGGGAAAGTAAATGAGAATTTTCTCCATTATATGCACTTCATATGCTAATCTGATTTAAACAAACAAACAAAAAAAGTCAGTCTATCCACTAGCATTATTTAGCTTAACAAGAGAGGGAAGGAGTGGAAGATAAAAAGGCAAGAGGTAGGACTATTTTTTTTTTAGTTTTTACTAAGAGAGACTTAACATTCAGCCTTGTTAAAAAAAAATTAAAAATCCTTCAGTCATGACTCAGCTCTACCCTCTCAAAAAAATTATTTTTGCTTACTACCATCCTTCCTGTTCTCCCATTTTGGTCTGGAGGAGGGAGGAAGAAAAACTAAACTAGTGAGGAGTACTGCCTACTTGTTTTTTCTTCTCCATGCCTTCAGTACACTGATTTCCATACAAGCTCTCCCTGCACCCCCTTGCCCCTGCAGCAACTGTGAGCAATTACTATCAAAGGAATTTTCATGCTCTCTTGATTCCAGGAACTAGATTAACAAGCCAAAAATGTTGTGCTTCTTAACAAAATACAGTTAACTCTCCCTGGAAAGCTTACATCACATATAAAAATCTGTATCACTGAGCATCTGAGGCTACTTTTGGAGGTTGGATGTTTAGAGAAATGAGTAGCTCCCCAGTGGAAATTGTAGGCTTCACACATTCATGTTCAGGCACTTTAATCCGTGACTTGGCTCCTACACTGGACTTCAGTAAGAATACTTTCACACTGGTAACTACAGAGGTGACCTTTACTCACTCATTCTCAGGTATAAAAGAACCAGAAGACAAAGTAAACAACATCTAACTGAACTATTTAGTTTCAAAGCCTTCCCCAGTCAACATACAGCAAATGTATAGTTAAAAAGTTTTAGGAAACTGAAAGAGTAGCAAAGGTAATGATAAAAAGGAAGGAAAAAAAGTGAACATTGCATCCTGAGACAGCCTTCTCCCTCTAATTCAGCAAACATGTAGGATTTCTCCCCCTCCTAAATTATCACAGATAAAAGTGAAGCTTCCAATATCAAATGAGGAAGCTGTGGGCTTAATGTGTCCCCCCTCTTTGGCTTAAGAACTCAGTGCTTAAATTATCTCTGTGATTACTGCTGATACTAGCAGACCTAAGATATTAGTGCCATACATGAAAAATAGCACTATATTGCAAAACTTATTCAGGAGGTTACAAAGGTAAGTAAAAGTGTGATACCAAATAACCCACAATCTATCAAATGTAGGAACAAGAAAAAAAAAATCTATGTCCTGTCTACACAAGTGATGGACTTTGCATTACTACTTACAATTATAAAGGACCTCTATAAACATTATTACTGATAAATTTAACTGTGTGTAAAATATTATCAACCTAATGTTATTCCTGAATATTAAAGCCAACTAAGCTATCCCACCTTGCTTGATAAGAATGCCTTAAGCATTAAACTGGATGTCCTCAAAAGTCTAAAGCTTGCCTAACCACCTTTCCCTTTGCTCTTCCCTCTTAAAGCAGAGTTACAGTAACAGCAAATTTATTTGGAAGTGTGGCAGAAAGTATCAGCAATACAGTTATGCACTTTAGCAACCCCAGCAGCACTGTGGTTCATAGACTGAATTCCAAAGGAAGTCTTTCCTTAAGAAATGACCTTGAGACAGGTGCCCTTAAAAACTTTTTCCATTTCATTTAGCTAATAGCCAATGTCTGTCAATAGACAGATGATTTTATTGCAGAAGTTTAAAGCCCCTGCCCAACACCAAATGCATAATTAGAATAGTGAAAGTAAGACAAAAACAGTGACATTCAGAAAAGTCTGGACATCAAAGTAAGTTTCAATAGCAGTTGGTTCTGCTGGAGACCAGCAAATTCAAGGCAGTCAATGTTTTGAAAGCTCAAGTACAAACTAAAACTTGCTGCCTTGTGGTCACTCCTGAGAATCCATATTTTGAACAGAAATAAGGGTAGAGAACTAGGATAGATGAGATTTACAGGTTTCAGTATTTTTTAGTGTATAGCTGAAATAAAAAGCCGCATTTCAGAGCATGCAAGCATCTTTTCTATAGCAACTTACCGAAAGAAAAGGTTTTAATAAAAGGGTATAAAGTCTAGAAAAACATGGAGATTTTTCACGATTATGAAGGAAAGCAAGGTCTCTGCGCAAGTTTGTGTGTGTGCATACACATATATGCCACTGAAAAGCAAAGCATTCCAGTTCACCTGTGTAACCTCAGGGCAGAACTAGAAGGGCTCCTCAGCAATTTGAGGAACCTAGGCAAATAGCTGGATTTCTGACAGCAAACAGGGGGTGAAACAAGAGAGGGAAACATTTCACAGGCACTTCCCCTTGAGTTAACACAGAATTGCACCCAGAACCTTTAACGCCTCACGAAACCAAGAAGCGAGCATCCCCACCTTCCCGCAGGCCATGCTGCTAACGCGGGGCTCAGCCAGGCGCCGGCTGCAGGAAAAGTCGCAATTAAACCGCTGAAGGGTCAGCGGCAGGCCGGGGAGGTTCGCTCCGCTCCGCCGGGGTGACCCCAGCGGGAGCACAAGCTGACCTCCCCCCCACCCCCCGTCAGCCAAGAGGAGGCAGACGCGACGCGAGGCCGGCACTGCAGGGGCCGACACCGACCCCCAAGTCCCCGGGCTGGATGAAGGTCAACCCGGCGGGGCCTCCCTGGGGGCCGAGGCGGGCCCCGGGTGCCTCCAGCACCTTCAAGTCACCCCCGGGGCCTTGCGGCAGCACCGCGGGGCGCCCGGCGAGGAGCGGGGCGTGGGGAGGCGGGGGGGAGCCGGCGCCATTTCGCAGCCACCTCCGCCTGACGGGAGCCCCCCGCCCCAACCGCCCCGGCGAGGGGGCGCAGCCCGCCATCACCCCGCCCCGACCGCCGCCTAAAGGGAGCGGCCCCCGGCTCGGGGAGCGGTACCGACCATGGCTGAGAGGAGCGACGGGTTCGGCAGCCTCGAGGTCACCTCTACAGCGCGACTGCAGCCGCGACAGCCCTGCGCTAAGGTAGCGCGGAGGGGCGGGGCGCGCCCGCTCCGCGCGGCCGCCTGGGGACTGTAGTCGCGGCTCCGCCGACCGCGCAGCTCGGGGCTGGGGCAGAACTACAACTCCCAGCATGCCTCGGGCACGCGCGCCTCGCCCCCTGGCGCTATTGGCGTCCTGGCAGCGGTTACCCGCCCCCCCCCGCCTTGCCCCATTCATTGAAGCGCAGAGCAGCGGCCCGAGAGCAGCTCTGCTGAGAGCCGCTAGGGGGCAACGGGCGGCACCCTTGGTTGCGCATGCGCTCCTGGGAAAGGAGGGCCGGGGGTTGCGGCAGCGGGCTTGCGCATGCGCCGGGCGAAGGGCCGGCGTTGCGCGCCTTCTCATCTGCGGGCAGAGAGGCGCATGCGCGCGGGCGGAGCCACTGGCTGGGGACGTCGGGCGCCTCGAGAGCGCATGGCTGCTGCGCGTGCGCAGGTGGCGGTGCTTCAGTGGTTGCTAGGTGACGGGGGGGCCCACGGGTCGCGGTGCGCGCGCGGGCGGGCGAGACCCTGGCGCTGGGGGCGGAGGGACCGCTCCCCGTCCCCCCCGCCCCGCCCCGTCTCCTCGGAGCGCTCGGTGGGTTCGGGTGCGCGGCCTGGCCGTGCCCTTCCCTGGGGCGGGCATCCCGGCGGGACCGGGCCGTTTCCGGGCGTTACTTGTAGGCTCCCGCCCCCCTGCGCCCGCCGTGCCGGCGCTGCCCGGCCGTTGGGCAGCGCCCGTCGCCTCAGTGAGACGGGCGGGGTGGGCGGGAGGGTGCAGGCAGGGAGCTCCTCTCCCGAGGCAAACCCCGGGGGCGGTGAGGGCGGGCAGAGCCCTCTCTTTGCCTTCTCTGCGCCGCAGCCTCTTGCCCGGCTTTCCCTCAGGCCCGGTCTCCTCCTGGGAAGCTGTCTGCGAGCACCCCCGCGTCGCGGGAGCCCAAAACCGCTGCCCTTGGGTGCTGCCTCTGGCTCCCGTGCAGGCTCCGGGTTTCTTGCCTCGCTTCCTCTCTCCCTGCTGCCTGTGGCACCTTTCTTTCGGCCCTTCAGAAGATGCATAGCTATACTTGCACTTTACAAAATCCTGTGAGCTTGTGCTTGGCCGTTTCCTTTTATTTACTTGCAGTAGGGAAAAGTGAGAGTTTACCTGTGCTCCGCTGTTAAAACAGCAGTGACTAAACTAGTGATCTGTTGTACAAAAATAAAACTATTACTTTAGTTGCGTTTTGGATTGTTGACTGAAGTAAACTCTTTTAGTCTGTGCCTGAAGTGAGGCTGATGTTGGCGTAAATACATCAGCAAAACCCACAGATTCTTAAACTGTGTTGTTATGCTATAAAAGAGTCTTGGATGGCAGTTGATTTTTTTTTTTTCCCTTAGATCCTGACAGGTTTCCTTATTGGACAAGTTCTGTAATTTAGTTAAGTCTCTAGTGAAGTCTCACTTGACCGAATATTTTTCTGCAGGATTAGTTTTAAATCTTACTCTAGTCCTTGTAGTCGATTGTATTATTTTTTTTTTAAACAGTCTAAATAGTGTGTACACTTATGCAATTTCTAGTTCAGTCCTCAGACAGAAATTAGAAGTTACTCCTTTAGGGCAGTGGGTGTAAAATGTAAACATTTATGCTTGTCATGCAGTGTTCTCATTTTAGTGAGTCTTGTTGCTAATTGTGCCCGTGCCACAGCTCAGAACTTCCTGTGGCTTGAACAAGTCTTTAGCTGAACCTCTGACAGCTTCTGCAGTACAGAGAACTGCAGTGTCAGAGTTGAAAAGGTAAAGTCATATTTAGTTTATTTTAAGTGTCAAACTATACTGATTTATATCAGTTAATAACCATACATTTTTAATATGAATGAGGATTGTACCTAGGTTCCCTTCTGGGGATGAATTTGAAAGCCAAATAGCTGCAAGCAAAGCTGAGGTCTGGCTTGCTGTGAAATGTAGAGAAGCTTGGTAAGTAGAAGGGAGCTTGTTTTCGAGTCAGATTATTCCAGAGTATCCTAAGATGCTTTACCCTGGTGACTCTAACCTTTTTCGCACCCACACATTGTACAGACTTAATTAATGCTATTTAAGATTACTTAAGATTTAAATGTACACAAAGCCTCATATGGACCTAACATAATTTCCACTCAGCATAATTGGTTCAGTTTAAATTGATTTCTTATCAGTTTTCAGCTAAGTCAATGTTAGCATGCTGTAAACTGATTTGTGTGTGTCAGCATAGCAGGTTGTATTGGTTTACTGGATTTCAGTTAAGCTAATCAAACTTTCTTCTATAGGTGAGGCTCAGTTTCATTCTCGGTCCTTTTTTGCCCAAGCGTGTCCTCCTTTAATTTTTTGTTGTTGAAGATAACATATCTTGTGTTGAAAGTGATTTGTAATGAATATGGTGCAAAGCATGTGTAAATGCTTTTTTTTTGTCAGAGACAAGTATATCAGTTTCTTTTAGATCTGTTCCTAGTATAATTAGTCCAAGATAGAGTTAAATTGGTTTAAGACCTTCTGCACTGTCTTTTGTGCTGGTTTAACTAAAGATGCCTTAAAGTTTCGCCTTTTATGAATATGTAATTTTTAAAGTTAGCAAAACTTAACAATTCTACTATTTCCTTCTTACTTGGCTTAAATTTTATTTCTGCTTGTTAAGGTTTAATATCTTCCAAGCAAAATGTAAATATATGAAAATAAATGAGAGATGTTTTTGTCTCCCCATCTGGTTTTTACAACTCTTTTTCCTGGTGTTTTTTTAGTTTTTAAAATATATCCTTTGCTTCTGGATAGAAACCTTTCTGGTGTTGTAGGAAGTGTTGGTTCTTGGCAGTGCTTCTCATGCTGTTAAATCATGCCACTGTTTTCAGACTGTTGTCACTGTGGGAATCTATAAACATACAGCGTTCGAGTTTCTGAAGCCCAGTCTTCCAAATCTTCTTCCATCTAATATTTATCTCCAAGACATGTGGTGTATTTGACTTATTTTTGCTAATTAAATTAGTCTTAATCACCTTTTCAAAGCTTTGGATATTTTCATTCTAAATTTAATGCTGTTTTTCCTGTGAACTTGGTCACAGTCTTCAGATTTCCTCCAGTTTGTTATTCTTATAATTTTCTTGCCACTTTTATCTTTTCTATTAATATTTTTTTTTAGATGATAAGGTGTTGTAATTTTAAAATATTCTTTAATGCTTCCCCCATGTTTTATTAGTATGTGTCTTTGCTTAGCACTTTAAGCCAAAGAGCTGCATAAATGGAAACATACTACATGCAAAAGAAGTAATGGAAATTTAGTGTGCATGTGGATTGGGCTCTCAGCTAATTCTTGAAATACGCTTTACAGTTTTTTGCACTCAAAAGATATTGAATTACTTGGAAATTGCTGTAATTAAGCAACACAATACTCAGGATGTTTCAATCTCCATTTTGCAGGGATTAAGTATTATTTCTCAAGGCAACTAGTAGTTTTGAAGGGTAGTCTGCCAGAATTCTCTCTTAATTTTTTTTTAATATATTTTAAAATTAATTATTCTCTGTCAACAGCTGGCTGTGTTCATTAACTGTATTTTGGATGGGATTTTCTTTTTCTTCATTGCCACATATAGAAATTGATGAATTTTTTTAGGTAAGTTTTTACACTTAATTTTCAATAATGTGTGAAGTTATCTTTTTATTGTTTCCATGTATAATATATTTTTTCTCTTATCTCATGCATTTATTTACAATTTTTAATACAAAAACATCTCTTGTAGCTAAGTCTGTGATATAATTAATGCTTAAAACGTTGAAGACTATGTTAAAAAATTAACTATATAATGGCCGGTTTCAATCCTAGAAATAATAGCAGAATTGGAACAGTTTTGGAAGCCTCTTCTGGGTTATGATCCAAGGGAATAATAATAAGGGATTTTTCAGAAATAAAATAAAGCATTACAAAAAAAATACTGAAATGGGATTAAGAGGATCAAAAGCGATTTTTAAAAGTATGTGAGAAATCTGTAATAGAGTTTAAAAAAGATAAAGATGTAGATATAACCAAGAACAATTAAAATCTTAGTTTAGAAAATGAAAATAGATACATTTTTGTTAAGAATTTATATTTTTATACATGATTTATTTTTTTGTATTCCTAGTGCTAATGTCCAAAACTAATTTTTCACTGCTCATTTCTAAACCTCAGTTATGTGATACTGCATATACATTAATGGTATGAAGAAAATGACATATCTAGAAATTCTCCTTATAACCCTGATTTTTTTTTTTTTTTTGCTGTGATTTAGAAAACTTTCTTAAAGAGAAATTTTACCTTGTATGGAACTGTTTTCATTTTATCCTATGGCTTCATTTTTACTTCTTAATAGTTCACTTGGGTTTTTACATAATTACAGGTATTTAATCATTCTTTAATTGATCTATACAACCTTTAGTATGTTTTTAATTGCTAGATAGGATACCATAAAACATTCTGTACTTATGTGCCTACTGACTGTGAAGAGACACAAATGATGTATAGCATGC